ATCTTATGTCAGTGTTTATAATGTTGACCAGACCACACACTAGAAGGTGAAGGGACGACGACGTTTCGGTCTGTCCTGGACCATTCTCAAGTCCATTGTGAATCGTCCAAGACAGACCGAAACGTCGTCGTTCCTTCACTTTCTAGTGTGTGGTCTGGTCAACATATTTATGTCACGTTATTGTGACTTCTCTTCTGCAATGTTTATACTATTTTGAGTGCCTGTGGTTCTCTGAGGCGTTGCTTATATGTTAAAATGGTTGCTTAAGACAATTATTTTGTTAAATGGTCTTAAACAACCGTCTTAAATGGTTTAAGAATGCATTGCATTTAGGCTGTATGGTCATCCATATTTATGGGAACACTCACAGGTCAGCAGAACTAAAATACTTAAATATATGATAAGCAGCCTCCACATAAACAACTGTGGAAATTACCCTGAGTATTTTTAATTTGGTGAACACGTCTTCCCTGTTTGTACTCATTTCAAGAAGTGTAAAATTTAGTTCCTCGAGTCATTATTACCCATGCCTCTCAGGACTCATTCTCAAGGAAGATTCAAAGTTGTCCTCCATTATGTATGACACTGAGAGTGAATACGAGATTAATGTCTGGCTGGTTCGTCATCGTCATCGTTCCTGTTGGCCCTTTGGCTTTAAAAGTTCTTATTATCATTTTAACACATTTAGTTCTCCATGTTTTGGTAACTCCCATGAGGCTCCCTATTCTCCCATTAGGTTCCGTATTCTCCTGGTATATCTAACTAGTATATCTTACTAGTATATCTTACTAGTATATCTTACCTTGGCTTAAGTCCCACCATGGTTAGGAGTAGAAAGCAATGTGTGTGTGTGTGTGTGTGTGTGTGTGTGTGTGTGTGTGTGTGTGTGTGTGTGTGTGTGTGTGTGTGTGTGTGTGTGTGTGTGTGTGTGTGTTTGTGTGTGTGTGTGTGTGTGTGTGTGTGTGTGTGTGCGCGTGTGTGTGTGTGTGTGTGTGTGTGTGTGTGTGTGTGTGTGTGTGTGTGTGTGTGTGTGTGTGTGTGTGTGTGTGTGTGTGTGTGTGTGTGTGTGTGTGTGTGTGTGTGTGTGTGTGTGTGTGTGTGTGTGTGCGAGCGCGCGAGATTGCGTGAGAGAAAAAATATTTTGAAGGGCATTGTCAACACACTGGTACTTGAGTTATACAATTTGTACCCAGCTGCGTCCAGATGTGCTTCCCTCCTCCCTTCCTCCTCTTGCCCTCTCTTGCCCTCTCTTCCCCTCTCTCCCCCTCTCTCTCAGTCTTCCTTCTCTACTCCTTTTCTCATATCTCTTCCCCTCTGAACCTTTCCAACCTCTTCCCACTACTCCTTTCGTCTCCTATCTCCCCTTTTTCTACCCATTTTATCACCCGCTTCTCTCTCCACCCTTTCTCATCTCTCCTTCCAATCTAGCTCCTCTCTATCTTCACCTTTCACTGCCCTTTCCTTCCCTCCCCCCCCCCCCAACTCAAAAATGTCTCTCAGAAAATTACGAAGCACTGAAACTTCTAAATAACTCCACGGAAAACACGACCTCTATTTCAGACTTTCCTGGGGAAATCTGTTGAAGGGTTTTCACTACAAGGCTTACAATTCCTGTCAATTACAGGCTGGGAAACGGGAAACATCTTAAAACTGGAATTAACGAGAACGGGAAACATCTTAAAGAAAACCGGAAATATATTAACGAGAACTATAAAATAAATCCTCAAAGTACATTGTAAAACAACACTAACACGAAAGTAGAAAAACCTTGATTAAAAGTAGCTTTTATTTTATATATAATAAAATACCCTATAAACAAAACGGATTTTTAAGTATAATTTATATTTTAAACCACGAGGTATTACCCTGATGCCAACTTATATCTCTAAACAAAAGACGTGAAAGCTATCTGAGGCTCCTTCCTAACTTTCACTCTCTCCCACTTTCTCACTTTCTCTTCCTCTCTCATGCTTCAATTGACACTATATGTTTTCCCAAGCATCAGGGAAATTGGAGCCAGCACAGTCCTTGTGTGCTGTGGGGTTCCTGGAATCGGTAAAAACTGTAGAGAGCGAGAGGGCAGACGAAAGAAGGAGGAGGAAACATGGAAGGGGAAAGAGAAGAAGTAAACAAGAGGGGAAACAATGGGAACACAGAGGTGACAAAGAGGGGAAACGGTAGGGATAGAGGGGAATTGGGAGGAAAACTCAAGAAGGGTGAGTAGGGTAGGAAATAGAGAGAGGTCAATACGAATATGGGACAGAGGGACAGGAGAGGGAAATAGGATAGAGGGTCAAGTGAAGCGAGGAACGGGGAAGAGAAAGGAAGGCAGGAATGGGAGGAGAGGAATGGGGAGAAAGATGGTGAAAGGAGAGTTTCGAAGTTAGACAGGATGAATGAGAGGTGAATGATGATGAGGGAAGGGAGGGTGAAGAGGTTGATAGGTTTTAATAACCCTCCAGTGGTAAATAGGTCTTAGTAACCCTCCGGTGGTTGATAGGCCTTAATAACCCTCCAGAGGTTGGTAGACCTTAACAACCTTCCAGAGGTTGATAGGTTTTAATAACCCTCCAGTGGTTGATAGGCCTTAACAACCCTATAGAGGTTGATTGGCCTTAACAAACCTCCAAAGGTTGATAGGGTTTAATAACCCTCCAGAGATTAATAGGCCTTAGTAACACTCCAGAGGTTGATAGGCCTTAACAACCCTCCAGAGGTTGATAGGCCATAATAACCCTTCAGAGGTTGATAGGCCTTAATAACCTTCCAGAGGTTGATAGGCCTTAACAACCCTCCAGAGGTTGATAGGCCATAATAACCCTTCAGAGGTTGATAGGCCTTAATAACCCTCCAGAGGTTGATAGGCCATAACAACCCTCCAGAGGTTGATAGGCCTTAACAACCCTCCAGAGGTTGATAGGCCTTAATAACCCTCCAGAGGTTGATAGCCCTTAATAACCCTCCAGAGGTTGATAGCCCTTAATAACCCTCCAGAGGTTGATAGGCCTTATAACCTATTAAAGCGGAAGAACCACGATATAATTAGCATACCAGAAAATTGAATTGCCCGAATAAAAAAAAAAATATTCCATACAAATCAGGTTATATCTGGCGAAACAAAATCTGGAAATAAATATTTTTAACAACCACCGTTATTGCAATCACAAACGTGTATCAAGGGAGCCGGTCGGCCGAGCGGACAGCACGCTGGACTTGTGATCCTGTGGTCCTGGGTTCGATCCCAGGCGCCGGCGAGAAACATTGGGCAGAGTTTCTTTCACCCTATGCCCCTATTACCTAGCAGTAAATAGGTACCTGGGTGTTAGTCAGCTGTCACGGGCTGCTTCCTGCGGGTGGAAGGCCTGGTCGAGGACCGGGCCGCGGGGACACTAAAGCCCCGAAATCATC